ATGAATCTTTAAAAAAAAAACACCAAAAAAAAAAGACACACACACACAGAAGGAGCCCTAACGGGTTTGGCTTAGTGCATAGAATGCAGGCCTGCGGACTGAAGGGTCCGGGGTTCGATTCCGGTCAAGGGCATGTACCTGGGTTGCGGGCACATTCCCCATAGGAGGTGTGCAGGAGGCAGCTGATTAATGTTTCTCTCTCATTGATGTTTCTAACTCTCTATCCCTCTTCCTTCCTCTGTAAAAAAATCAATGAAATATATTTTAAAATAAAAATAAACAGAAGGGCTGGCAATAACACTCTGGGCCCTAATGCCTTTGGTCCCAACAGCAGCCAAGGTCGTAACCTTAAAAACACAGGGCTCTGCCCTGACTGGTTTGGCTCAGTGGACAGAGCGTCAGCCTGTGGGCTGAAAGGTCCCAGGTTCGATTCCGGTCAAGGGCATGTACCTTGGTTGCGGGTACATCCCCAGTGAGGGGTGTGCAGGAGGCAGCTGATCGATGTTTCTAACTCTCTCACGCTCTCCCTTCCTCTTAAAAAAAAAAAATATATTTTTTTAAAAAACAAAAAACACCAGGGATCCCGCTCATGCAAAACTTCCCCCTCGCCAGCCTCTCGGGACCGCGGACTCTGCTCACACTTCCTTCTTCATCGGAAACGCAGGCCAGACACTCCCAGGCGTGGACACCCGCGCCGGCCCAACATCACTGACCCGCGAATTAAATCCCCAACCTGAACCTGACTCCACGACCATCTTCAATGCCTCCTGCACTTCTCACAAGCGGGGTGACCCGCAGCACCCCAGAGCCTGACAGTCCGGACAAGGGCGTCACCTCTACAGACTCTTCACCTGGGCACCGGCCCCGCGGGCACCCCGACCACCGACAGATGCCTCCGCTTCCCTTCAAATACCTCACATCCCGATCCCACACGGGTCCCCTCGGCTATCCTCCCGCCGCTCCTACCCTCCCCCTCAGACCCGGGTGATAATTCCATGCCCCATACACCACCGCGCCCACACGTCACCTGTGAGAAACCAAACTTTTGCTGTGACAAAAAAAAACAACAAAACTTTTGGGGACAAAAACCACACACTGACTGACCTGAATTTTTGCCCAGCCCGACCAGTGGAATGCAAACGCGGTATTTCCGCGAACGCCTTCAACTTTTGCCCGGGTGCCGCCCCGTCTACGGTGGCCCAGGAGGATCTGGGGTTTTTGAAGAGGCGTTTGGCAGCGACATGTCTGCGCCCACGTCGCGGCGCCGCCAGGGGGGCCGCCATTGGTGACACCTGGTTGCCGTACAGAAGGCAGAGCCTGCGTTAAGGCGCTTAGCCCGTATTGGTTGCTAAAAGCATCTCGTTTTCCAGCACTTTGCTCATGCCCCGTCTACGGTGGCCCAGGAGGATCTGGGGTTTTTGAAGAGGCGTTTGGCAGCGACATGTCTGCGCCCACGTCGCGGCGCCGCCAGGGGGGCCGCCATTGGTGACACCTGGTTGCCGTACAGAAGGCAGAGCCTGCGTTAAGGCGCTTAGCCCGTATTGGTTGCTAAAAGCATCTCGTTTTCCAGCACTTTGCTCATATCCAAAATAATAAAATAAAATACATATATATATATTCTAATTAATTGTGGGAGCTGGAGCTGGGATTGATACTCTGGTGGTCTGGTTCTCCGGGGTCTGAGCTTTCTCGTATTCCTCTGTATTTTCTCCTTTAGCTGAACTGCCTATGCAGAGAGCAAAGATAGTAGTGGAGAAAAGATAACTGCTTTCTGACTGCACTCCAATGAGTCCCATTAAACTGCTAGACATACGTAAGAATGCAGTGTCAGTCAAGGATCAGTGATAA